ATATTATTCTAACCTTAATAAATAAAATAAAATAAAATAACTTCATATTTCTTAGTAGATTTGTCTATGACATATGAAGAGAGACAAAGATAGATTATGTGTTATTGTTAGGTTTCTTGGAAACACATTAATATAGTAGAAATGTTATATATATATAGTTCCTAGTTTGTCCATAAATATATGTGTACATTATCTAATATTACGACCATTGTTTTCTTAAAAATGATTTTGATGTTTGATAGATCTCGACTGAGTTGGATTATCAAAGAATATTATTTTTTTAGCTCTAAATTGTTTTTGATTATATAAATTGACATGTTAAAAGGATTTTTTTATCTCCTGTTTTTGAAAAGAAAATGGTATCAAGACAGGGATGTAAGATAGTACTCTACCAGTTATGTTTTGTAGGTGACATGTATTTCTTCATCTGTTAAAACAATGCTTTTCTTTAAAACATTAAAATGAAGAAAGATTTGTTGATTGGTTCACATTATTGATCAGACATAGGCAGATCATAGCTATTGAAAGCAAAATAGATGATTGAAGAGAATAAATATAATCAATAATAATGCAAACATAATTTCCTATTGGATTTATATATGTCATAACCCATTCTTGGGTTACTCCCCAAATTCATATTTTTTTCTTTCAAAAATAAAAAATATATATATTTGAATTAAAAAATAAAAAAATTCTAAAAAATAACAACAATGAGAAAAGAATGTCAAAGTACCTATAAAATAACTAAAAATTAGTTAAGGAGGTTTAAAAATATAAAGATTAAAATCTAGCGGTATTTTGTTGATTGATGAGAGCCTTGTTGATAAAGAAAATTCAATTTGAGGAAGAAAAATCCAAAATCAGATATTTATGAACTCAATTAAATTTTATTGAAGGTTTAATTGAATTTATAGAGGGTTTGATTGCAAGAAAATTGATTTTTAAGTCAATTTCAACTTTAATTAGAAGAAATTAAAGTTTTATGGTCAAATTATAATTTGTTAGAGTTGATTTGGTCAAATCAAAGGCTTAATTGCATAAATATTGAAGTTTGATGGCCAATTAAGAATTTAATTAAAGAAATACGACACCAAAGACCAAACTGAAAAAGGCGCGTAAATAGAGGAGCTGTAATTAAATCGAATCAGGGGCCAAATTAAAGAAATTAGAAGTTTATTGATCAATTGAGGGTCAAATTGCATAAATCAGAGACTAAGGACTAAAGTGAAAAAGGCGACCAACTTTAGGGCTGACGATTGAATTTGGCAGAAATGCAATGAAATTGATTTTTAAAATCAAAATTATAATTTAAAACTTGATTGAACAAATCACAAATTAAGAATTAATTTGGACTTTGGCGCAATTTTACCATCATTTCCTTTTAAATAAAACAACGTGTTTTGGGTCAAACGATGCCGTTTCATCCACTGTTTCAATAAAAAGACCTAAACGGTGTTGTTTTGAACTGGCATTATGGGTCTTCTTCTTTCCCTGAACGCACGAGGTAGGGGAAGAAAAAGATTTCCTTCCCCTGCTTTTCTCTTCCCCCTTTCTCTCAAAACAACTCAAAAAGAAGTCGGCAACAAACCCCCTACTTGCCTAAGTTCTAACTCGTGGCCTACCATAGAGTGAAAAACAGAGGGAACGTGTCCCTTGGGTGGTCCTGGGGCAGCTGCATAGGGGCCGCCCCGGCCACCCTCCCCTTGCGCTATGACTAGGTAGGGGTAACAGGTCTCTCTCTCCACTGTTTTTTGCCTATAAATACAGGAAAAGAGAGAGCAGAAGGAGAGAGGATAGAAAAACAGAAAGAAAACAGAAAACAAAAGGAGAAAAAAAAACAGGAAAGGAAAAAAACAGAGGAATGGAGAGAAAGTAGAGAGGAGAAGAACAAAGATAGAGAGGAGAGAACCGAGAGCGGGAAAACAAAAAAAAAGACACAGGGACTAACGCCTCTGCACGAGGAAGAAAAAGGAAAAAAGCAACAGCACCACCAGGCTTCTAGCCACCACCACCGTCAACCTAGCAACCATACTCCTTCACACCAGGTAATCTTCTTTCTTTCTCAGATTCATCTTTCTTTCTTTCTTTCATTTACATGCAGAACATGAGCAATTCACATCCTGTAGAAAAATAAAAATAATTAGCTGGTTACTATGTTGTGCAAAGTAACCAGCTAATTATAATCTTTTGAGCCGGTGTTGGCCCATTTTTATTTTGGGCTAGGTCCGATCCATTCCAATTAAAAATATTTAAAAAAAAAATATTAGTAATTTTCTCTCTTATTTTTTTTATCCATTTTGGTTACTATTGGTTTGTATGATTACACCGTAAAGATGCAAATCCGATATTTAAATATCCGGTTTTCATCAAAACATTGAAAAGAAATATTTTTTTTATTTTAGTATCAGGGATTACAAATTTATACGTAAAATCATATTGTATTTTCATACAACAAATAAAACTTCAAAAAATATTTTTTATCATGCATTTTGACTTTAATAATCAATTTATTAAAGTCACGCGAATTTGGCCAATATTTAATAAATTTCAAAAAAATATTTTGTTTTATTTTAGTATCAGGGATTACAAATTTATACGTAAAATGTATTCCCAGTATTAAAAAGGTATTTCTTTTAACAATATAAAACATTTAGGTTTTTACTCGATACGATAAGAATTTCCTTACAGAGGACTTTTTTAACCATAGATAAACCAGCAATTAAAAACAACACATCTTACCTTAGATAGGGCGTAGTTAGAATGCTAATAACTTCTGTTTATGTAACCAATCTTTATATTCGATTTCTGAAACCAGTTAAGATTTTTAGTGATCAGAATATTAAATGACGATTTTTATTTGAACTAGAATGCTAATAACTTCTGTTTATGTAACTAATCTTTATATTCGATTTCTGAAACTAGTTAAGATTTCTAGTGATCAGAATACTAAATAGCGACTTTTATTTGAATTTTTTACTAATAAAAAACAAAAATATCTAGTCTCCTTGTATTTTTCAAATAGACATACATCTCGTTTAAAGATAGATGATTAGCCACAAAGCCACAGCCATGTGATAATATATATATTATGAACATATTATTTGGATGCTACTCATGAGAAGGCGGTCACTTTCAATAATTAAACTACGAGGAAAAGCTCGTTAACAAGAAGTCCTACCAACAATTATATATTTATGTATAGAGTGAGATGCATTGAAGTCGTTCATCCTAATAATACTCTAACCCAAACATATTTATTTTCAGAATTCCTATGATATACAATGTATTATGCTGGAAACACGAGTGCGCTCCTAGCTGCTTTAATTATAAAGTCAGAGTAGGTAGTGAATTAATTTGTAGGAGAAGAATATAAATCCATTTCTTATATTTCTTTCCTTCCGAACCTTTATAAATTATTAAAGATGTGACTTGTGTAATAAGATTTTATTTAATTATTTGACATTAACTTTAAACATGATAAATTATTGTCGTTCACGGAGAATTCTACATTAATTTGAACTTTCTAAAGCCCAACCAATAAAATGTCTACATGTAAAGAAAAAAATATATGTCACCAAAGTGATTATCAAAATTTCAATCAAATTACTTCTTTCTTTATTTTATTGCGAAATCATATTTTTCTCGGAATATAATAATACTTTGCTTTCGTTTTACTACGTGACTGGTAATTGACTTATCAAACCAACCATATTAAATTAAAAAATCAGGACTAATGAGTACAGAAATAGCTTTGGTGTCCGTGTTTGGCTGTAGAGATGGACTATTTGTGTGCAAAACATGATATTCAAGTGCGTGCTGAAATGAGATTAAAAAAATAACATAAAAAAATTATCATAATAAATTTTAAACTCTGGTAATAAAAATCAAACCAACCCAGAATATCTTATTAAATTCATAGATTAAATTACAAGATTTGAACAATCTTATTCAAAATAAATAAAAATTATAAAGTTGTTAAAAAAATGTTAAATTTTCACATACTTGAAGCACCTAATATAAAAAAATCATAAAGTTTAACTCTTAATCAATTAAGAAATAATAAGGATCAAAATTATTATATAAAAGAATTAAAAAAAATTAAAAGAATGAGGATTAAAATTGAAAAAAATAAGGATCAAAATTATTATATAAAAGAATTAAAAAAAAATAAAAGAATGAGGATTAAAATTGAAAAACAAAATTATTTTTTTATTTGATTAAAGGGTGAAATCGAAAAGAAAGATCAATTTAGTAAAAGGACAAGCAAATCAAAATAATAAGGATCAAAATTGACATAAAAAATAAACATAATGTTTTGATTGAAGGATGAAATTGAAAAGAATAATAACTTTTATAAAAGAGATAAGAAAAAAATTAAAAATCAAAACAATGAGAACCAAATTAAAAAATACAAAACTATCAATTTGAATTGAAGAATGATTTTGAAAACCAATAAAACTTTTATAAAAAAAATTAAAGAAAAATTAGAAATAAAAAGAATAATGATTAAATTGAAAAATATAATATTTGGTAAATTAACATTGAAAGATAAAATTTAAAATAAAATAAAACTTCAACATAAAAATCAAAATCTAAATTGAAAAATATAATATTTGGTAAATTAACATTGAAAGATAAAATTTAAAATAAAATAAAAGTTCAACATAAAAATCAAAATCAAAAATCAAAAAATTAAACTTAAAATTAAAATACCAACAATATAAAAAGTTAAATTATTATTTTAAAAAAAAATCAAGTTAAATTATTATTTTTGTTACGCACCGGTTATTACAAACCCCACCGTACAGAGTCTGGTAAAATCTCTGTTTGCGGGTGATTTCAGCTATAAGTCCATCCCTCACCAAGTATCACAAACAATTTTTTCAGGGAGGAAATTGGATACACAAACCTCTTCTCATATTTATTTACGTAAGGTTAATGAATGGCTTGTATAAAGGAACTCTACAATATGAGAGGAGTGCTACAATCTCGGATCATCCGGAAATTTTTGTTTTTATTGCGAGATAAAAACAAGTCACTGCTCAAATATCAATCTCGGTTTTATTTTATTTTTTTATTTACAAGAAATACTTTGATGATGGTGTTCCCCTGTTCATATGATATACAAACAAATTTATACACTACCTGCCAGCTATGTGGGGATGGTTTTAACAAGATGATAACTTAATAATCAACAACAAAGCTTACTCAACTTATGAGGACCAAGTCTAAAGCACCAACCCAAGCATACCCATATATAACAAAACTTCGACAGGAACAAAGCTGCTGAAAGCCTTCCTGCTTGTTTTTGTCAAGTGAGATCCATTCTCATTGCACACGGAATCAATTTTTAAGTTGATCTGCTCTAGTATATCTTCAACACAATATGCCACTTCGAATTCATTAATAATCTATTCCCAGTCGCCTCATTTCGGCTTGGAAAGTTGGACTGGAAGTTAGCGTTTGATGGGCGAGTGTCCTTATATCTTGCCTTGAACAGTCTCGTGAAATACGAACCAGTTCCCAGAGCGCACCTCCGCTTATCATGTCCCTTGCGTTCACTTCTGTAATGTAACAAATGCTCACATCTCAGATGACGTTCAATGGACTATAGGCTTTCTCAAATTTTAAAAGGACGCACAAAAACTTACCGTGTTGTGCCAAATGACAGAGCGCAAGCTCTATATGGCGTCTGATTGGTGATGCTTCATTGTTAGCATTCTGTACTATCCATGGAAGCACTCCATCCACAATCAAAAGAGACCTTCCATTCTTAGTTCCTGCACAATTAAGTGCCAACGTTATGCTTCATGTAAGTATGGTGGACAAGGAGAGGCCTTGGAATTTTCAACATGGCACAAACAATTTTGGGGTACAAAGTCCACTACATAATTGTATGACAAGCAGAGCAAACCAAATACAGACAAACTTAACTAAGGCCTCTTTCTAAGATACGTACCTTGAGTTGATGCTCTGGACTCACACTTGGCAAAATTTGCTATTCCACGGGCAACTTGTGCAAGTACATCAGGATGCCTACATCTAACCATCCCTAGCAAAGCCTTGATGCCACCTTCACCTCTTAGCTTCATCTGCAACTTATCTGAATAATTCATCATTGCACTATGTTAAAGTTTACAATGGCATGTCAGCTGATAGACTAACTCAAATAAATTGGAAATTTTGCAGTAGCACTTAAATTGTAACAAAGCTCTCTTTCACACCTCACACATGCTGTCTCATCATTTTCCCCAGCTTACTTATCTATGTACAAAGCTTGTGTGAAACTGAACTCTTTCGGGTACTCAAGCTCTTTTATATTTGTTAGATTTTGGAAAAAAAACCACATAGCTTAGATATCTTAACATTTCTTAGTGAATCGCCAGTCCCATACAGAGTATTGCAAAATAAAAATTATAAAATATATATACTTACCTCAATCAAGCTAATTTCTATAGTACCAGTTTTAAACATGCTAGCCTCAGGTAGCAGCATGAACAACTAGCTTAGCTACTAAACTTGCACAATTTTAAATTTTTCAGGGAAATATGGATGTTAAGGCAACTAGTTCAAGGGAAAACACTGCTTTACTCATCTAAGATTGGAATTCCTATATATTTACAAATGCTAATTTAAAACAGCTAAAGTTACTGATAAAATGCCCTTCATCCCCAAGCAACACTTCATATACAGTCGCTTTTGTCTGTCTGTTCAAGGGTGATTTCTTGCAGTGGTAGTTGAGATCAGGGCTTGTTTATTTAATGTTTATTCCCCAGTAATATAAAAAAATCTAATCAGATATCCATTTTTGGAATTGAGTAAATCTTCAAACAAGCTTAAAATGCAAACAACTAGTAAACTCAGCAGAATAAAAATCAAATGGGGTCAAGGAGCTTACCATTTCCACAAAGATTTGCAATGGCTCCAGCAACCATTCGAAGTGTTTGAGGATCCTCAGCACTGCCTGCTGTCATTGATAGCAAAGGAATGCCTCCTTGAGACATTATTAGCTCTTGGTTGGTTTCTGATTGAATACATGAAGAACATGAATAAGGTCACAACCAAATTTAAATGATCCATGGTAAATGTATCCAGAGTATGACCAAGATCTCCATGATAATTAGATCGTCTCTGATAATGGATGCAAAACTCACCATTCATAGCAAGATTGGCAATTGCACCTGCTGCAACTCTATGTATAGTCTCATCCTTGGAGCTTCTAAGCAGCATCAACAAAGACTTTAGACCGCCAGCTTCTACAATCTTCTCTTGATTTGTTTCTGCATATTAGATGGGGATTGCGATCATTTTGGAACAATGAAATAGCAATGAAAGGCCTTTTTTCCCTGGAAGTGATCATGCTGTTTGCAGAAATATAATTTTGTAGTAGTGTAGACTATCATATACAAATTCATCCAAGAAAAGGTCAACAACAGAGTAAAACAGATTATGAGAAACAAATGTAACACAACAAAACACTCTGATTTGGCACCATAAAATTGGAGAGTGCATGAGATGTTACATTAGTATGCAATGCTGCAGTTCTTGGTAAAACAATAAAAGATGAGTGAAGGCTTTGGAGCTTGAATTGTGCAATTCAAATTGTGATCCAGCTCTTGGTTTTGCATTGTTTATTAATGCCATTTCCAATAGAAATTTTGAATTGATTAATCCATACCTCTTCCAATATTATTTTTACTGATACATCCTCTTGTGGTTATATTCAGCGTCTGCTTTGGGAACATGTGCATGTATGACAAATATCAAGTTTTCAAGTCTAAAACTGTTTAACTTAGAAACAGGCCAGTTCTTTCTTGACATTATCTAATGACACAGACAAAATACCAGCCCTTCACATCCAATCTACTGTCTGTAAATCTGTCAAGGAGAAAGGTGTTTTCCATTCCAAAGTTGTGTCCCTTGCAACTCCAGAAGTTCATGCATCAACCTATCATCTACTTCCATTCAACTAGTTCCCTGAAAACTAACCTTTTTTATTCATCAATATCAAGTAGGCAGGGATGCTTAGCAATGATCAAATCTCAGAATCAATGTTCCCCTTTCAAAAGAAATAAGTCTTTCGTGAGTTAGATGCTATCATGTTCACCAATATCAACTAGGAAATGCATTGAGAGGTATAAATTAAACATGAAGTTCAGAAATCACTATGTCTGTGACACCCTACTGGAGAGTAGATCAGCACTAGCACAATTCTGAATAAGTTGGCGCTGCCCATAAAAAGAAGTTGAAGCAAGTGTTGGTAGAGAACAAGAAAGAAACCTTCAGCTGCCAGATTTGCTACCACCTTCACAGCATGAATTCGCACATCAACATCTTCTGCTTCAAGCAAAGACAAGATCCTTTGCAATCCCACTGAAGAAAAATTGGATTTTGTTAGGAAAGAACAATATGAAAGCAGTTCCATTACCTTACCATGTGGAACAAATTGAAAAAATAAAGATAAAACAAATAAATACCAGAACTACCTTGTTCAAAGAGTTTAGCTATTGAGGACTTTTCTCCATTTCCCAAATCATTGGTCTGTGGCTGCCTAACTTGCAACAAGAGAGAATCTAGACTACCAGGAACTTTTTCAGACCCTCCTTTATCAATCCTTCTTGCCGTCTAAAACATAAACATATCAGTCAGCATTCGAATTTTAGATACCTTGTGGGGGCGTTAGCATAGATTCCATGAGCAAACATTTATGCATTGGAGAACATCGAACATATGCCTTGGTTGCCTGCTAAATTGTTATGAATTACAATGCCTAATATCACAATCCATGCCGCCATCCATCATCTCTCACTATTTTCTCAGTGTAGGTTTCGAAAAGAAATAATCATGCCTGTAAGAATTGCAATGCTTGTATTTGAGGTTTATAGGTAATTACTAAGTTTTCCTATCAATTTAGGCACTTGTTTCCTAATTTCTTATGAGAGAAACAATTTTTTTTTCCTCAAAAAGTTCTCAACCATATTGTTCCTTGAAGAAATCTGAATTAGGTAGGTTTCACTATGCTATAGTTCTAAATTCCTCGAAGAGAATACCTCATCGGCCTCAAAACTTATTTGCAACAGCTGACTTTGTAGTATTGCTATTTCTCCTTCAAGTTTTTCTTTCTGGCATGCCTCATCCTCCAGCATCTTTTGAAGCTTTGAGATATCAGATTTTGCTGATGCCTTGTACATCAAAGGTATAGTTATATGTGAACCCAACCTGAGCAAAAGATACAGATAACAGAAATGTAAGAAGCACTGAGAGGTAGAATCAGTCAAACATACCTCTGACTTCTTCAATTCAGCTAGTTGACTTTTAAGTTTATTAACTTCCTCTTCAGCAGCCTTCCTCAAGAGAGTTTCCTTCTGAAGCTTTTTTTTCATCTCAGAAAGTTCCTCCACATTAGCTAACCTGGAATCCTATGCATATGAGAGGAAAAAAAAAAAGGCTAAAATTGTTTAGTCAGACAGTTGGGTCATTGGATGTACATCCACAGAATTTTGGAGGAATCTAGTAGTGCTGTAGGGAGGACACGAAAGAATCATGACACAATAAAAAAGGAGGCATCACAAGGAAGGATCAATTTCAGAACTACCTCTCCAATAGATATCCAATTTGAACTTTCATCTTTTAGTCCAGAGGCATTTTCTTCACCAGCATGCTTCTGCTGATTCATCATCCATTTCTCTTCTAGCTTCTTTATTGACTCCATATACTCTTTCTGATAATTGAACCTTTCCTTCTATAAAAAGTGAACATAAGGAGTTAGCATGCCCAATGCCAAGAAAGAGAAAATGCTAAAGAAAAATCAGTGGGTAAAAAAGACATAGGCAGTACAAGTCAATTGTTTCCCACATCTATCCATCCCGAGAGAGAAATGTGTGCATCCAAATAACCACAAAAACACAAAATGATTTCAGTATGAGCTGGTAACAAATTATTCTCGGCATAAAGTAGGGAAAGGTCACTGTTTAAATTTTGCATTTCAAAAATACAAGGCGTGATATATTCTATAGAACAAAAACCAAGAGGCATGATAGTATTCTACAACAAAAACCAAGGGACAAACTTTAACTGAAAATGATACACAAACATCTCCCTCCCTCCCTCCCTCTTGCTCTCTCTCTGCACACACAAAACAGTAATTCATTATTAAAGAAACACTTACCTCCAATTCGACTGCATAGTTTCTTTCAGACTCCAAAATTTGATGTTTTGCTTCAGTAGTTACTCTTTCAATTTCATTCTCAAATGCTTTCTGCTGCTTTTCATGTTCTGCAATAAGTTTCTCCAATTGCATATCTAATCTTCTAGACAAACTTTTGTAATCAAATTCCTCCTTTAATTTCAACATATTCTCCACCTTCATTGCCTATGAGAGGAAAAAACTCTTAAAAAATAAACAAACAGCTTTTGTTAATAAGGTATCAGTTAATACACTATTGATTTTTTGCCTGAGTCAAGTTCAATGTATGTATATTTAATAGAGCCAAATATAAATCTATTAAGATTATGGCAAGAATGAAGCATGTCCAAACACAAGTACAAGGAGCACTATGTTGATGATGGTAGGAAAAAATAAATGAACCATGCAGCCAGGGCATTGACTTCGGTTATTGGTACCCACCCTTTGTCCAAACATAATAGTACTTGCTGTCTCTCCTCGATGGCGTGGTGATGGACCGATAGTAATAACCAGTGAAGTCCTTGCCGTGCCTGTCAAGATTTCACAGAGTCAGGGAAAACATATCCTATAAAAAGATTAAATAATTCCATTAATGCTAACATATTACCTCCAAATGAATCTCGAAGCAATCTAGTAAGCTTTGAATCACGAATTGGGACATGTGCGCTATTTTCCGCGAGAGCATTAATGCACTTCCCTAGTGCACTCAACGAGAGATTGATGGATTTGGCTTCCTCTAATGTGTGGCCCTCACTCCCTGCCAAATAATGGACGAGTAAACAGACTTTAACAAGTAAAAGAGAGCTTGACACTTAGAAAAATATACCTAAAGAATGGCCCATGTAGAATCAAAATTAATCAAACCATTTGTCAATATCTACACCTTTTGCATTCCACAAGCCAACATGCACAAAGAAAGATTTACCAAAATAATAATTGACCGGCTAATTTAGATATGAATTGATAAGAACAAATTTTCAACAAGAATGATTTAGCTGGAATATATAAGAAGAGGATATTACGAGACCATGTGAACATGAAAGGCAGAAGAGGGGTACTTTTAATTTCCATTTCTTGATTTCAACAAACCTGACTTGTCAATGCGCTCTGAACCTGCAAGATCTACTACGACTAGCTTTCCCTTACGAACGATAGGAGGCTTCAAACTTTTAGCCATGTGGGAATTGTTGCCATTTTCGCTTGAAAGAATAGAATCTCTTCCCTTGACAGACCTCTTTACATGTACCTAAAGCATTTGCAATGTCTATTTCTTGTCAAAATCTCAAAAGATTTCAAATAGGTTTGCTGCAGTTTCAAAAGCACTAGAAAGTGAAGGGCAAATTTATTCACCATCAGAATAGCATGACTACGAGATGATTCAGTATTCAATTTTGTATTTGCAGCAAAACGATGAGCTTCTCCTTTTCGCAATAGTTCAACAAAACTCTGCTGATTCCTAATTTCAACTATGCTAGCCCCAGGAAGTGAAACATCTCCACTTTTTGGGTCTTCTACAATAGAAATATTGTCATTAGCATGATCAAGGAGGTCTTGTATGGTCTCCATGTACAGCTGCACAATTTTTAAGAATAGGAATATTAGAACATAACTTGGATCTAATAAAATTCAAAATATCCAAAATAAATAAATAGCATAGATACTAAACAAAGAAAATTACAACATCATACGTATAAAACTAATGCATAGTAAATCCAACAACCTGCAGATAGGACACTGAAACAGAATCAGTCTCTAGAGAAACATCTGCTAATATGTCCTCCATAGCACGAACCATAATTCCACGAGCAGCAGTGTCTTCCTCTCCAAGTCGTCCGAGAGTGTATGTTTTACCAGTACCAGTCTGCCCATATGCCATGACTGTCCCATTGTATCCATCCATAACACTCTGCAGCAGCAAATAACAAATCAGCATGTCATCGGAATCCCATAAAGTAGGAAAAAAAATGCCATAGCAAAACATAAATCAGTGTAATAATTGATAATCGGTATGTATATGATTCAATGCTATGAACAGGAGAAGTGAAACAATCAATGAAGTTCATAAGACAACATAAATAGTGAGCATCTGTTACAACATTATAATCTAAGTTCCATCACAAATAATGAATCAAGGAATCTGATAGGAATTATGCATGCGCACAGGAGATCCATCTAATTTAACAACTTTTAACTTTATTTATGAAAGTGCCTAATTAAGAAGTTATGATAACAGTAATATTCTGTGACAGTTAAGGACATCTGAATCAATGATCCTAAGTACAAATCTTCAACATAAATAATAGATTTAAATTCATTTGTTGGTACCTCTACAACAGGCTTTGCCACAACTTCATAAACACGTTTTTGCGATGCAAACTCAGTCAGCAATTCATCAAACTCGTATGTATCAGAATCCCAGTTATTTTTCCGAAGTTTCAACCTCTTAACCTAAAACCAAAACAAGAAAAAAAACAGTTGGCTCCAAAAAAAAAATCACATAAAATCAGACGCACATTTAAACAATTTTGTTCTAAAAAACCTCAGGCTGTAATTCTACACAGTCAGCAAAATCAGCATCAGCTACCATCTCCTCTTCATTTCGTGGTCGCAATCTCACCGCTACCCTAACTCTTCCGGGAACTATAGATAAAAAGCAATAACTAATTAATTAACTAATCACTCACTTAATAAGAAAATCATTAAAAACAAGAGAATTCAAATTAAAGACTAAACAAAAAAAAAAGAGTAACCTTGGATATTAAAAATTTTAAAAGGAAATGAAAAATAAAGCGAGATGTCGACGGTTAAAAGAGAAGGCCGGATTATCTAACCTCCAGTATCATCTTTAGCGGCGCCAAGAGAAGGAGGAGCGCTCTTACGGAGCCCCGAGCCCGGCAATGACTTGGACTTTAGTGAATTTTTAGGGTTTGAATTGACGGACAGAGGCTTCTCCACTTTGTTATTGCTAGTACTAAGTGAATTCCTACTGCAATTACCATTTCTATAAACACCTGCCGTAGCGGCCATCTTAGCTCAAACAGAGCGAGGCAGAGAGTGAGGAAGCGAGCGAGCGAGCGACAGAGCGAGTCTGCAATTTTGATTTCTGTGAGTGTTTTGTTTGATTTTCTGTTTGGTTCGCGAGAAAATTAAATGGCGCTGCGGTTAAGGAGTGAAATTTAAGTTAGAGAGAGAGAGAGAGTGAAAAAAACGAAGATGGAGTGTGTAAGGAGTGAAATTTAAGTTAGAGAGAGAGACTGAAAAAAACGAAGATGGAGTGTGTGAGTGAGAAAGAAAGAGGGAGAGGTTTTCTGAGTTTTTAGAGGGAGAAAGGCGTTGTGGGTCCCGGATTTGACTCTCCATGTTTTTAATTCTCCATGATTTGAAACGGAGTTACGGAGATGCCCTTGCTTAATTTAAGAGAAAATGTGCAATGCATGCATTAGCATGACAGTGCATTTCAGGTGCCGTGTTAGAAGGACGAGGTGGTGGATTAAATGACTGGACTGACCCTTTCCCGCTTTCTACCTAACGATTTGATTAACCGTCAAGAAGAGTTTGATGAACTTTCTAGCGGTTAATTTGTTCTTTGAAGTTGATCAATTATTGTTTTCTATTTATATATACTAATGATTATAATGTATTTATTGCTCGTGAATAATAAAATCTACTAAAATTCCCACGAGCGCAAGCATGTGTTTTTTCTAGGATCAAAAAATATTTGTTTTCCTTCTCTATGTTAGCAGGTTTTTTTATCTAAACCATACTTAATGATTCATTCATGATTGTCACACTTGTACGCCGCTATAGTTAAACTACACAATGGCGAGATAATTATTTTAATAGGAAATGAATTGAATATATATTTAATCATCAATTATGAAGTGATTGTAATTAGTAATCACACAGCAATAAAAATAAGCTTTAAAGCACAATAGATAAATGAATAAATGGATATGTAATAATTAGTAAATTAATTATTGTATCTTTCTAAGTATTCGTATATAAAATGTAAATTTGTTTGTATACTTTATATTTTATGATTCCATAAAGATTTATTAGCATATTTTTTTTTCGACAAATATGTTTTTAATTAATCAATTTATAAAAGTTCATAACATCATACTTCAAGATATGGCTTAGACCCGAACCATGGTCACAGACCTTGTTATCGAGCTCTTTCTCAACACCTTCATAGGCTTAGATGTGATAATTATTTTTCTGAGAGTTTAAATAATACACCTAAACTTTAACTGTTGGGTCCACTACAAGTATCAGTTGGGTTTAGATGTTGAACCCACGCTTCACACCCATATTGGCTCAGGTGATATCGCCTGAACTCAAGTTTTGAGTATATACCCGTTACATTTTGGGTTAATTGTTTTTTTATATTAAAAATATTTATTTTTTATTAACAAAGATATAATGGATATTTATCTCTTATTAATATTTATATCAAAAATATTTATTTTTTATTAATGCTACCAGAATAAAATGATTCTTCAACTCAAGCAACAAGATAAGATATATGAGCTATAAATACCCTCTAAATTATACATGTAAAAATTTTATAATTTTTCAACCTCGACATGCATATATTATTTTCTTGTATAATATTTATTATCATATAAAAATAAGAATAAATAACCTTATTTCTAGAATTTAATACTCTTTTATATATTTCTTAATCTTTCCCTCTACAAATATAATGATTTAAGTACAAGAGGGTACCCAGATTCATTAACATGAGATTTTTTTTACAGGTATTAAATTATTATAAGAATGTTTGATAAATCAATAATCTAACAATCAAAAAACTTTATTCTTAAATAACTTGAATTTTGCAACACCATCGCCATGTTTGATGAAATTATCAAATGTTTAATAAGGAGGAGTGGGGGTGGTGATTTGAGGAACATGGATTTTAGCATATTATGTTAATTAAAGTTGCGTGTATTTTTCATTGGAAAGTAATTTCTGAAAAATCACTTTCTAGATTTTTTTGTATTTATTTATCATTATAAAAGTTTGTCAATGAAAAAAACTTTTCAGTCAAATAAAAAATTGACTTGATTCCCAAGAAAGTGTTTTTATTTTATTTTAGACGAAAATATTTTCTAGAAGTTGTGAAAAATTTAAAAATATTATATTATCTACTGATTGTATCAAATTTGGTCTTCAAATTTTTTATTACTATATAATTTTGTTTTGAATATTTATTTTTTAATTTCATCCCTTAGAATTTATTTTTTATATTAACTTTGGTCCTTGTTTTTTTTATTATTATTTATTTTTTTCTTATTATTTTTTAATTGAAAATTGTTATTTATCAAATTGTTCTCATTCTTTTGATTGTTATTTATTTTATTTGAAATAATTAGTGAAATGTTAATTATTATTATTTTAATTTCTTCATCTTTTAATTTTTTTATTTGTTAGATTTGATTTCTATTATTTGTAAATTTATTTTTAAAATTAGCACATCAAAATAATATTTCAAATAAAAAATTTAATTTTTTTTTAAAAAAATTAAATATAAAAACATAGCAGCCGCCCTACCCAAGAAAGAACAGTGAAAAGGCACCCAAAATAAAAAAGGAAAAAAATAAAAGAGGGAAAAGCTGAGCAGCAAACTAATATAAAAGATAGCTTTGGTATGGAAAAGGGAAACTAAGAACGCATGAGAAATTTTGAAAAATCCCGCTGCTATTTGCATCCAAAACATTCAAATTCAAAGGTGCCAAAAGGTTTAATAGCCTTTACTAGGATTTGAAACATTATATAGAGGAGGCAAGCTTGGCTTAAAGGGAATTCACATACTTTTACAAGGATCTTAATAGAGGCCTTAATTCAATCAATTGTCCTTTCAAATCACACTCACGAACACACACACACACTCCTATTGATTTCTCAGTTGTCATTCAAGTACAATGATGGAAAGCTTCGCAGACAATGAAAAGAAAATGATCCCACCCACGGCTTTTAATTTGACAGCCTTCCTGGATAAAGGAAGGAACTTTTGCTTGAGAATGGTTGCACACATTTTGGACTTTGAAATAGTTTCTAATACGTTTCTTTTTTCCTGTTCATCAGTAATTGTTAGTCAGCTTTTAGCTGATGAAGTCATTTGATACTGCATCATATGATTTAAATTTGAATTTTACTCCGAAAAGATTAAAAAACAAGATTACAACATGATTGAAAAGCTTGATAAACACATCAATTAAAATAAAATGCCATAAACTCGCAATCATGTGAAAGAATGCTTGTCATTTCAGTTTACACCTTGTACGAACACAATTCTTTATTTATTTTTATATTTTAAAAGTATTTTATTATTATTATTATGTGTTATTGTCAAAAATAAATTTTAAAAACTAAAAAAATTATTTTAATATATTCTTAAACAAAAAATACTTTAAAAATTAATTGTTACTGCAATTCTGTTAACCCGTTAACATTCATTTAAACAGGTTAAAGTTATTTTTTTGGGTCCGATCCTTATGTTACACATGGTGGGTCATGATGTCTTGTTGTGTGGCACTCAATTGCTTACATTTTAAGTTGTAGCTGATGAGGATGGGGAGCTCAAATCAGCCTGGGGAAGATGGAGACGAGCAGTTTCATGGTCGGAGGTTCCATCAGATTTTCACCTACCAAAAGCTATTAATAGTGAAGAATAAGTAATGACTTTAACACTAGAGCTGTTCTACCATTGGTTGGCATGTCTACTTCCTCTGACGCTGTTCGTCGATGAGTTTCCTTAACCTCAGGGAAATTCAACAATTACTTGTTTCAAGGAGAAAGGAACTTTATCAAATCTTGTTCTTTGGTCCCGGCTGTCACTGAAAAACTTTAACCTTGCCGTCATCCAGCAAATTTCAATAAAATTGTTCCATGGAACAGAAAAGAAAGCTATTATTCATTCATAGGAAAAGAAAAAGAAAATTACGGGGCAGCTCGCGAGTGTATTTAGCAGTATCGTAATTATTGTTTTTTAAATATTTTTTTATATTAAAATGTATATTAATAAAAAATTTTATTTTTTAAAAATTATTTATAACATCATCACATCAAAATATACAAATTATATTAAATTTTAATAAAAATAAAAAATAAATACTTTTAAATTTTTTAAAAAATACAGATTGAATCATGTTTTTAAATTGAAGCATATTTTCAAATAACCTCGTGTATATATATAATTCATATATATGATTGATTATTGAGGTCAAAGAATGTAGAATTGTACTAGAAGTTAGTAATTTAACTTTTTAAATAGTACAAATATGAAATTTTTTATATGCAATTTAATTTTTAAAATCTTATGAAAAGGTGAATTGTATTTTAGTATATTTAATACATAACTATTTTAATTAATTTGATATAATATAAATAACTTGATGGGTTTAAAAATAACCAAAATAATTATTAATTAATATAATAATAAAAGATAAAATTAAAAAAATTAATTAAAAAACTTAAATTAACCTAGATAACTAGTCAAACCTAAAATTCAAGTTATGAGACAAGAATAATATCATAGAACGCAAATTAAAAAAACTTATATTTAAAAAAAAAACAAGCGAAAATAATATCATTGTAATAAATAGTGTTATACAAGGTTTTAGTATTTTTACAGGATATTAAAGAATAATTATTTTTAATAAGAGAAATGATATTTTAAGATTTTATTTAACATTTTTCCTATAACTAGCATGCAGATAAGTATTGAAAAACCAAATTAATATTTTTTATTTTGAACTTTCTATTTAGCACATCCATTTATAGATGCCTTTAGGGACCACTGCACCATCAAATGGACCAAAAGAAGATGGATAGAGGCATGTGGCAATGGCCCAAGGATACGGCCTGAGCAGTGTAGTTTCTTTCATAACGAACTCCAATGAACAGTGCCTAAAGCCATCAAATGCATAGCTTTTACATTCAAAAGCTGGTAAAGGTCGGGTAGCTAGATTGATTGATAGAGATTTCCATTCACTGTTGGATGCATGACACCAAAGTCACTCCTCAATGTTCTTTAATGTAGACATGGAAAGATTAGGGTCTGCTCCACCATGGCAGACCTTACAGGGTAGCTTTTAGTTTTCCCCGTTTCACTTTACGTCGATCAAAGGCCACTCGGTTACTTGCGGTCCTCGAAGTGCCCTGAAAAGAGTACTTCTCGCAATTCATATAATCCAGTCCGTGCCATGTAGATTCTCTCTGGT